AGGCACACTTCGCGTTCATTTCATGTTCAGACGCCTCTGTGAGACATGGAAGTACTGCACGCATGCATGGAGGATGTGCTACTTTCACTGTTCAAAAATATATGAGGAAAGCACGACCCGCTGCCGATGAGGCCACGGCCCGCACACTGGCCACTGCAACGACCAACTTTCATTTTGAAGGTATTTTGGTGGTGCGGTGCGGGCACCAACAAGTGAGAACTCGTCCGACCACGCCCTTTCTTCGTCTTATGTACATATGGACGTGGATCGGCATTTTTCTTCACTTTTGTGTTTTTCTTTATCTTGTCATTGGTATTTGAGCCGCATAAGTGACCTTTTTTGAGGGCGGAGTGCGCCTGTAGGTACGACCTCCCCCCTTGGGATTCTTCCAAGGATGCTGTGTCTGCAACGGATACGTTTCAGTGCCATCCCTCTCGTCTTCTCGTTCCCGCGTCCTTTGTCTTCGTCTCTCACCTGCGCGACAAAATCTCGTTCTTTGGAACTCTTCCCCAATTCTGGGGCCATATTGAGAGTGTTTTCAGTGATTTTGTCCACTTTTTTCCACTGTTCATCCAGTTAGCATCTAAGAATCCATATTTGCACCACAAAAGCCCTGCAGTCAGGTAATAACTCATTACTGATAGCGCCTCCAAGCTGTTCACCCCCCCCCCTTCCAATCTAATGAACTAGGAGCGGATGGGTGACCACGACATTAATACATCGCGTTTTTTGAATCCGATTTTTGGAGAAGTACGCAGGTACTTGTGGCAAGGAACACGTTCTCAAGTGCACCTCAAGTGGATGGGCCATGATTATGGCTCAGCCGCTTGCGGAACACTTCAACTGCAAACAATAGATGGAGGACGTGAGCGTTTCAATAGAGTAGTCATGAATTTCATGAATCTGAAAGAAAAAAAGGATAAGGTTGATCAATCCCTTTGTAGAATGCGGCACGCATTCTACTTCCATTCAGAATCGTAGTGGCTTATTGAATGCGATGTGGCCTATACAATGACTTGCGGGGCCAGCCGATGTACAAGTCAGTGTTTTATCCTCCGATGAATCTGGTACCGATTTACTGTCTCCGGAAGATAGAGGACCTGGATGATCTTAGCGGGAGCCAGTCCCGGATTTGACCCCCGGACCGTTCGCGTGGTAAGCGCGCCACTTATCACTACACCACCTCTGCCTCCCGAAAAAAAACTCACAACTGCGCAATCAGTGTCTAAGCCGTCAACACTTCGCTACGAAAGACCATCTCATTTCAGAGACAAAACTATGTAACACTTTGTTTTTACAAAGACTGCTTGGAGCTACAAAAGAACGAATTGACTATCGCTCTTATGTACCCACGGCAAGCCATGTCATTAGAGAAAATTTCTCCGTAATACCAGCCCCCTTACAGAACGACCTCCCCTGGAACGACCCCTCCCCACTTCCCCATCCTGCCCACCATGTTCTGAAATTTGCCCAACTTTGTATCACTTTTCACGGGCTTCGGCGCAGTTTAGCGACGGGGAGGGGCATTTTGCACTTTCAGTGCTTCACTACT